ATATATCGGCTCAATTCTATTGGAATATGTCCGACAGTAGAAGGAAATATGGTTCCTAGCAATATTGTTTGCCCAGCAACTGCAAACCGGTTGTGTTTATTGTCTTTCTCTTGCTTGAACGTGAGCTGTTGCTTTAAGGTTTCCAGCTAGTGCGATACACGTGATAACCTCTTAAAGCAGTGTTGAATTTCAATGTGGGAATAATTATGCAACATACCGCACGGAAATTCGCGTTAATTAATGTATGTAAACATAACTTTTGGAAAATTCGCGTTAATTTTATGAGGCGTAAATTTTGTTCGCGTTATTAACATGCTTCGTTATATTCCTATAATAAGGTAATTGTTAAAATTTAAACACCAGATAAATTTTCGCACTCGAATTCCTTTCCTGAGGCAATTTTTTAAAGCAAGAATTATAAGCGATTTATTGCTTGGATCCACAGTTTTCTCCTGGCATAAGCGAACAGGGAAACTCAAGAATGGAGACCTTCCCTCCTGTAAATGATTTTCTCTCTTTTGATAACATTCAGGAATAGAACAACTCTTGGGTATGGCGAAAAAGGATAGAATAGTACTGCGCATTACTTTACAAAAGCTGTGTTCTCATAACGAAACCCGAAGACTGACTAGCCTCGCTTTGGTGTAACCTAACCCAGGCCGACCGATTCGTCCGCTTAATTTGCATTTGATGTTTGAGGTAACATCATAGCATTAACTGTTACTTATTTTAACCTCTTTGCTCTTTAGGAGATATTTTCTTATCTAAGAAGTCGCGCAGTCAACCTGATCGTCTAGTCGACCTTGACCTCTTAAAAATGGACGTGCATCTTTTCGTTCATTTTCATTGTAGCATTACACCTGCAGATTGATGGTTTTTGGTTCATTGGAGCCGTAAAAATTGCGACATCGCTTTAGTTTGCAATAAATACTAAGTACGGCAAGAACTGTAATTTTTTCTGTCCGCCTTCCAGCTGTTTGGGCAGAAGTATGATTCGATCATGATCTGCATTTGTAATGAGTGAGATTATTGTTTTTGTGGGCCCTACAGGTCAGTTGGTAGAAGAATAACGAAGGTGAATTTTGCACTTTTCGTTTTCAAGTGCGATAAATTAAGCGTGGCTCGGAATATATTTCTAAGTCTTACTTATCTTCCAAGGATTTCAGTCGCTTGAGGATGTGTGGCATACCCATGGTCTTGTTATCTTTAAGAACTCTCTGTCCTCCACCTAGACTTCTTGTGGTTTCAGCCGCTCCAAGGAAGTAAAGGAATACCGAACAGACGAAAAACGCTAATAAGAAGTAAAGTGGGACGTTTGTCGAGGTGAGACATTTCATCGTGGAATAAACAGGCGATCACTGAGGGCCAAAGGAATCTTTTACCGTGATAGTGCGCTGAGGGTATTTTGACTTGAGTGAAACTTAACTAAGAGTTAAAGGTGCGACGAATTGTCGCCATCGTCGAGTATTTTTTCGCGTTGATTTCCTCGTCATTAGAATAACAATTTAGATGTAAATAGTTTACGCTCATTTATCCTGCATATTTTTCCCTAGCAGGGAGGTTTCCGTAACTTTGAACCTCAAGAAGATTCAATAAAACGCTTTTCGCTCCCAAATGATCATTTTTGCGTTTGTCACGAGAGGCTGTTTTAGTCATCGCCTGATTAATGTTGATTTATCATTGAAAACCATATTTGTTTTGTTTCTCAAACAGACTGAGACAGACAAAGTTATGCATGCAAGTAGTCTTAGAGGAACAATACAGATTTCAGATAATATTACCTTCGGATGAAGTAAGATAGAGTTTTTTTAGTAGATTTAGGAATGAAAGTAACAGATATAAAAGTTCATTAATTAAAGACTCTTTATTACTAATGTTAGTGGAAAACTGAATCAGTGTTATGCGCTTATTATAACGTGCAAAATTAACACTTGATATCATTCTTATTCCATAATTTAAGTTTTATCAAGACAAAAATCTCGGTGAAACAGAAGTAACTGAAATGGCTGCATGTGCATTTCGAAATCTCGAAAATTTATCGGACTTTAATAGGCTAGCAGCACATATCACACGCATAGATACAAATAGGTCTAACCATTTGAATTAAAAACAGACTCGTGAAGTGGAACGTAATATCAACCGAGAATGGTATCTGGTTCTTCAGAACATTAACTGAGTCACCATGGCTGTGCCATAAAATCAGCAACGCTATTTACTTGACTTATTAATAAAGGTTTCTTGGCTAAGCCCGGAGAGCCATTGTAACACACTTTAGACAGAATCACCTCACCTTCCCCGTTGATATATAATGAGTGGCCCTTATGATATAAAAGCGAAAGGAGGAAATTATATATAGGACCTACTTGATAAATTTCTTGTGCGTACATTTCTGAATTTAAGATAAGATCTATATTTGACTCGAAATTGCCAGCACAAAGAAAGAATCAAAAGGTATTCCTTGTTCTGAATATAACCTCGCCTAAGTAATACTACGGGCCTGTTATTTACACGGCGTTAAGTGTGTGCTTCCGCTTAAAATGTCTAAATTCAGTTGAGCAACAAAGGAAAGACTTTACGTGGCAAGGAAGAAGCAGAGAGCACAAAATCAATGTCGAGAGAAACGCGACACGTTTCTCCCTCACATCTTCATAATCGATGATCCAACGAATTCCTAAATGGTAAATACTCGCAGCCTTTTGCAAATGTCTGCCGGATGCAGAAGGGAATGTTTTAATTTGGGTCCGAAGGAAAAGAATCTTAAGAACAAAATCATAAATTCAGTTTCAAGACAAAAACACTTTTTTTACTACACGGCCATCGTAATTCGATTTTTCACATTCAAATAAAGAAACAACATTCAGAAGAGGAGCTGTGATATCAAGGTGAAACGAGTAACGCTAACCGATGAGTTATCTATGAGAATTGTTTTGACTAGTGCACATTATTCAAAATTTGTAAAGATATGCAAAATTACACCTAAGGTAAGTAAATATCGCGTCGTCTTTTGTATTCATTATTTACGCCGTGCAAAGATCTCAAACAATTGTTATTTGTGCGTGGACCGTTTATCAGGATTGGACTATGGAGATGGTATACGGAAAGGCACCTTATTCGGGGGGGAACTGATGTTTCTGTGAAAAAATGTTACAATATATCAGTATCTCGTAGAAAAATAGACGAATTAGAAAAAATTCACAACTGTAAAAATTTGAGAGTAAAATGAAACCCAATATAATCAAAAAGAAGACCTTCTAAACAGTACATATGCTTAAGAAAGTTAATAAATTGAAATTTTTGCGAATACCAAGTTAAAACCTTGAGATTTCTTTGAGAACCTTGCCTTCTGCATAATTACTAATGTCAAGGCTCACCAAATCATAGAGAAATAAACGCAGTCGAGCAAAAAGCGAACCTTGACCAAAGATCATGGGTAAGAGGACTGTTTTCCAAGGGAAAGGTTAAAACTAGACTTACTTTACACTAATGGATTTGAAACTTATCAGCAGTTACCGTTTAGTTGCCTCCGATACTCAGTCGCGTATCGTAGCTGAATTAAATGGAGGTGGTTAGTTTTATATTCGATTTAAAAACATGAACTGCACTTGCACTTTGTCAGGTTTGTATCTTATAACTAATGCAACAATTCAAATAAACAGAACAGTGCGCGTGTCACTTACTTTGGAAAAATATTAGGCCAGCGGAACCTTGGCAATGTGTTAAAGGAAAAATTTATGCGAGACTAGAGAAAACTGAGTAAAATGAACTCAATTTGAGTTTTTCAAAATTTAATGCACCAGATATTTAGTACTTTGGCGATACTTCTTATAGCTAGGTCGGGACGGATGGATTCAAGAAGAGCTGCAATTATATTTCAATGAAAAGATGCTTCTTTAGGGTAACGCAATGTAGAAAGAAATTCAAACGATGGGAAACAAACAACCTGTCTTAATTTTTTGCAAACTTTCAGGAGGTTCAATATTGACTTTTTCACGGTTTGTTTTGTCTTTTATTTTTGTTTCGTTTTAATGCAGTGGCTTTAGAGTACTTTTTGACACAAACCTATGACCTACGCCTTTGGCTCATCAAATGCTCAAAAGTAAGCAAGCTAATATGAATATTACTTATCTCACAGCGGGATTGTAGAATAGAGCCTAAAAGCGAACCGAGAAGAAATAAAATCGCAGCTTGGGCAAATGTGCGTTAGTCGGAAACTTTCAGAGAATTTCTTTAGGCCGAAAGTTGAAAATAGTCACGAGGCAAGAGATACATATAAGCTATGATGTATAGATCATTTTTAAATGTTTTCAATTACTTTATTCACCCTTTATTCACAAAACCAGCACCGATTCCATATCAAAATAATCACAATAGTCTGCAGAGGTGTCTCCTTGTGTACGAGGAGAATCATTTCACCTCTTACTTGGTGCATACAGCACAGGTCAACTCTCGTCCGCTAACATATGGATGACACGGGAGTGAGCCACAAACACCTTCCACGGCATACAGAAGTGCACCATTACTGTCTGTCGAAGAGTTTGGGCGGGCCTCAGCATCCTTATCGACACAAATAAAGTCGCGCTGCGATTTGTAGCCGTAGTATGCAGTCATGAGATACCCATGATACTCCTCAGTCCAGCCAGATGGACAATCGTTCCTTGCAGGCACCATAAGCATGGATCCACGTGGCTTGACATAACATACCACGCATGGTGCATCATGGTTATCAAGGGATTTTTTGAAAGGATTGAAATTGCTCACTTCATACTCAGTACCATACACCCGTCCCAAGCTCTGGTGTCCGTTCCGGTACTTGTCATACTTTGGACTGCGTGGTAGACAGAGGTAGTTCACTCCACCGCCTTCATGATGGTAATCACCGCTACCAATCAATCCTGAAGAGACAATCAACAACGGACTTCACTTCTCAAAAAAAAAATTGAAAAGCAGGTTTATGAAAGAAGGAACTTTAGTGGGTTACCCGTCTAGTCGTCCAGTAGTAACTCTTCTGCAAGAAATAATTTTCTTATCGGATCTTTTCATCGTTCTTTGCACTCAGTATAGAGATTTATTGAGGCCTTATGGTGCCTTAATCCCTCTTTATACTTCGAAAAAAAATTCAGCTACAATCACAAATGTGACGCATGATCATCTCATACTAACTGAAATGAGTAGTATACGACTCTATTTTTTTCGTGCAATTTTACTTATTGATGATTGTTATACGTGCCTTTGTAGACAATCTGAGCAGCGTTAGGGCATGAAGTTCTGCCCCAACGAACATACTTTGCTCCAGTCTTCCCAGATTGTCCAGGGCTTCCAACTGCGCCTCGGTCTCCCTTAGGTCCAGGGGGACCTCGACTGGACTTTCCAGGTTGCCCACTGTCTCCTTTAGCTCCAGCATCACCAGGCCTCCCCACAGCTCCCCGTTCTCCTTTTGAACCAGGCTTCCCGTCCTTTCCTAAAATATTACACGAGAAATGTTTATGTGAGAGGTTGTTCTGTAGTAAAAAATGCAGAGTTCAGTGAAAGTATAAAAACATGTTTCTGTTTCTCCCCGCCGGATAAGCTCCTAAAGAATTTCTTTGAAATAATATGACATCGATGAATCTTCACCTTTTTAAATTATTGGACGATGTACTCAGCTTAACACACTGGCTAACCCAGATAAAATTTATCTGTAACCCTCGAATCTGATCAACTTGAATTTTATTAGTTTGACAGAATTTATTCAGATTTTATTCAGATTTTATTGCTGCAGTTTGTGGACATATTGGAGTTTGTATAGATAGAGAATTCTTGACCTTTTTTTAGTTCTAGTTGACTTAAAATTAGCATGTTCCTTTAGTATAGGTTTTCCAAGCTTACCATCCTTCCCCGGGGTTCCAGGAGGTCCAGGTGGTCCTGCAATGCCTCGTCCATTATTCAGGCCATCTCGTCCTAAGAATTAATTAAGTTTAAGTTTAATGATACTTTGTCATGCTAATAAAAGTAAATAAAATTATAGAAAATACAAAAAGTGCATTACTGGAGAATGATTGGGGGAAACTAATTTCCATTCAAAGAATATTCTCTAATATTTAACATACTAAAAATTAAGTAGTAAATATAAATGCAGCCCATGAGGAAAAGTATTGGATCTTTATAACAAGAAAAAAAAAACCAAAAACAAAAGCAATAACAAAGAAATAATTTAAAAAAATGATAGATTGAAATTAAACCAACCAAAAAAGTAGCTTGAGAACCAAGAATCTCCATATTTTGGTTGTAGCAATGCTTCAAGCCTAAGAGAGAGACGGAAAGAGATAACAAATTACAGTCGCTAACTGTCTAAATTAGTGAAAACAACAAAGTACCACAAACGGCAAATATAACTAAACAAACTAAAACAATCACACAAATAATATAAATTTATAAACTAAAGCACCTACACAAGCTACAGTGAATACACAACATAAGGTAACTAGAAAAACTGCAGGAACTACACAAACTACAGGAACTACAGAAAATAAAGTTGCTACAAAAACTAGATTAACTACTCAAACTTAGAGTTACTACAAACTACAAACTACGGTAACATCACAAACTACAGCAAGTACACAAACTAGAGAAACTTCACAAACTAAAGTAAGCGCGAAAACTACAGAAACCACAGAAACTACAGCAACTACACAAACTACAGAAACTACATTAACTACACAAACTAAAGCAACTTCAAAACCTACAGTAACAAAGCCCACGACGTTAAGTACAAAAAATATTGCAACAACAGAAACTAACGTAAGTAAAAAATTATAGTAACTACACAAAATGCAGTAAGCACACAGAAGATACTAACTAAACAAGATTAAGGTGGTACAACTCTCAAAAAATCAACATTTTTTCATGTTTTTTTACAAAAAGTTATCTATATCACCTAAATTGACACATGGAGACAACTGTATTTTTGCAGTTTTTGACTTGATATTTTATTATTGCTGCTGAGAATTAGCAAATGATGCCCCCCGGTGGGCAACCAAACAAGAACAGTCATAACTCTTTAACATTAGATTAAAAATTCACAAAATTTTTAGACAATGATCTTTACATGCACCTGCATGCAATGAACTACAGAAACACCTCTCAGTCATATAGAATGGAAAATATTAAAGAAAACACAACAACTTTCAGGAATTGATAAGATGAGCAATCTCATTTTGGTCATTTAACAACAAAAGATGCACCTAAGTGTATGTTTCTAGTTCATTGCATGCAAAAATATACTGAGATCTCTCACTCCAAAAATGAGAAGAATTGAATAAAACGCTGGAAAGTTATCTTTGCTAGCGTGTCGGTAGTTTCATAAAATTCGAAATTGAGAGAAAACTGGTTTAAAGTTTTTAAACTGATTTTTTCAAGACTTGAACACAGTTTCCATGAATTGAATTGTTCAAAACTGACCAGGGCCATAGCTGACTCCTTCAGTTTGCTTATTATGGTCATCTTTTCGTTTTTTAAGGCCCCTAATCACTTTGCGTCGCTTCTTGGTAGTAGCTTTGCTTTTATGTTGCGCAATATTAACTCTAAGCTGGTCTTGGAGTCTGCAACCCTCCTCGGTATATTTGCCAGAAGGAATACCAAGGGCTTGGAAAAGCTTAATAATACTCATTGAACCAATATTAAAATAAGAAACAGCATCATAAAGTCCTAATTCTAATGTCTCCCTTCCAACATAAATTTCTTTTGGAATCCTTTGCCATACCATGCCATTCAAAGACTCATTTTGATTTTGTGTCTTGCCATGTAAGCACTTCTGCAATAAGTTGTTCTCACTAAGTCGAATATATTCAGGCTTTAGCTTGGCAATAACAGGTAAAGGAAGGCCAGGTCCATGCTTAAAGAGATTCGTATGGTTGGCTTTGTCCTTTTGATACTTGCACCAACTTGCACTACCTGTTGGGCAGTGGTCATGAAGTGGGCGTGCCTCACTTGAGGCACAATGCATGAGGCTAGCATGGATAGCTTTCTTCATTCCAGCCAAATTTCCAACATTGCACCTTATGGCAATGCCATAATAGTTCTGCAGTTTATCAATTAGACTATCTGTGAGTTTCCCTCTGCCTCCAAGGCCTGGATTGTCACGTTTTAATTTGCGAAGTGCAGTTCCAACCCTCTTCTGCACATGACCAATGCATTCTTTCTTTTCCACTAAAATTCCAGCATCTTGATAAATATTCTTTATCCTGGAAAAACTCTTGCTGTCCCCATCCCCATAAAATTCAGTGTACCTGAGATTGTGCAGCTCAACAGACCTTTGAAATATGCGCTCTGCACCCTCTGGTTCCATAGCAGGTGCTGATCCCTGGAAATTTGACTTGCAAGTGGTGTGATCAGCTCTCCACATCTGATATTCGAGAGAATTCTTGTCCATTTGTTCATGCCGCTCACACTGTTTGCATCCTTGGCTTAGGGCCTCCACATCAAGAACCTTTCCTGTGTCCATAGATATGACAGTCACACAACCATTGCGTGACGAGTAGCCTCTCTTTTGCCATGTTCCGTCACAAGAAACACCACAGTTCACAGGTAGACCTTCAGAAGAATTTACATCCTTCTTGAGAGATAAAACTTCTTCTCCTGCCTTTTTCATTGTTTCCTTTGCAATCGCTTTCATGTGACGGCCGATTACGCGCGAGTTGCTGAGGAAAGCTTTCTCATTTGGAGGTGGAGGCATGTTCATAATTGTGCAGAATTTCCTTGCACCAGCATAACCCTTTCCAAGAGTTCTCATACCATAAACGATTCGCCGATTTACTTCAAAACTCTTTCCTTGCTTTTTTGATGTGCAAAATGAATGTTTCCATCCACACTGCTCGCACAGCAAACGCAAAGTTGACGCACATCCCTTCCGTTTCAAATTATCTTCCATAAACAA